TCCCATCACTCGTGGAATCCTTGTGGAAAGCAACCCAATGGGGTGACAGGATGCGGAATCATTGGTGAAACACCTTCCGGGTCATGCATGCTACTCGGGAAGGCAATCCCAAATGTATTCATTGCTGGCACAGGATGCCCAGGCAGCATTTCAAGACCTGAAGACCGGGTTTATAGATGCTCGAGATGAATGAAATTTTTTTGCCAACGATATGAAACAGCTACTTTGACCCAAACATTTTAGTCCCGGGAATTGGCCGGGTCGACCCATGTCGGAGTTTGAAAATTTTTATCAATCAACCAGTGGCTCATATCTTGACCTCCGAACCAACTGCCATTGTCATTGTCATTTCCAGCTTCATAATCCTGCATTAACCATGTCTGTATTGCATACTCCCCCAACATCCCCTTCTAATTCTCAGACTTCCGGCAATGGGTTCCGACCCCTCACACTCACTCAGGCAGATATTGCAGCTACAATGTCAATGGCTGCATCTCGCATCCGAGCGTCCATCTCTCAATATCAGATGGAGGCTGCCCACACCCAGGAGCCATCTGCTACTCGGATCACGCACTTTAAAGCCGGGCTGCAATGGGAGATAGCTGTAAGAGGCTGATGACTGTGGTGGTCAATGCTGACATTTCCAACAGACTTTTGTGACTCCCATCCTGCAGTACTCAGCTGCAAGGAACATCATTTCGGTTGTTCCGAGCCCGGTTGCTCATATTCTTCAGTTGATTCCCGAGCTCACCTGGAACATGGTTCCGGACCACATCTTTTCATCCACCTATGCCAGTTTTCAAGACGTTGCAGATCTGGGGGATCCCTCCCGCATTGTATCCACCTATGGTACTCCATGGTGGACCGGATCAACTGCCATCCCGAACTGAATTATGGCCATGGATCAGGTATTCGCTAATTGTGTCTGTCACTACCAGCATTGGCTAGTAAGACTTTTACAGAATTTCCTTGAGTGATGACTAATCCTTTCTAGTCTGGCGTTGAGGACGAACGTCTTGTTGTTCCCGAGCAGGTGGATGAAAGCTCGCGTTGCAACGCTGAAGGCACTGAGGTGGATGAGGGAACGCCTCCTGACAGTGATTGAGGATCAACAAGCTGGCATCCGTGAAAAGATGGCAGAGATTCAGATGTACACCGCCGTCCTAACCAAATTGAACCCAAGGGGACCAGAGTAGTTCTAGTCCTTCAGTTCAGAATGTTGAAGTCTAAATTCTGTACATGATGAAATAAGTACTGAAAATTACATACTGACTTTCGAATATCTGACCTATTGCTATATGCTGAGTCCTGCATACCAAATATCGAGCATCGAGATCCAGATATCTTGAGTTCCAAATATTGAGTCCCAAACATAGAGTCCCGGATATCCAGTCCCGAAGCCCAAGATTCGAGACGAGACTTGAAACTCGAACATTGCTATGAGTTGCGAGTTTTGAGTCCCCACCGAGTCCTGACAATCGAGTCCCACAGCCCGACTATCGAGTCCCAACCATCGAGTCCCAACCATCGAGTCCCGACAATCGAGTCTTGAAACCCGAGTCCTGACAATCGACTCCCGAAGCCCGAGATTTGAGTGCCGACCATCGAGTATCGAGTCCCCAATATCGAGACCCAAAACCCAAGCAGCCCGAAGCCCGAGATTCGACACGAAACAAATCAAAACTCCAAACACCACGACACTTTCTTGAATCACCGAGTACCGAAACCCGAGTACCGGGTACCGAGTCTTGAAACCCGAATCCGCACTATCGAGTCCCGACTACCGAGTCTTGAAACCCGAGTCCCGACAATCGACTCCCGAAGCCCGAGATGTGAGTGCCGACCATCGAGTATCGAGTCCCTATTATCGAGACCCGAAACACGAAGCCCGAAGCCCGAGATTCGACACTCGAAACAAATCGAAACAAAACTCAAAACATGACACTCATCAATTTTGGGTGTTGTTTTCTTGAATCACCGAGTACCGTGTACCGTGTACCGAAACCCGAAACCCGGTACTCGGCAGTCAGTGAAATCGAATATCGAGTCCCGACTATCAAGTACCGGGTACCGTGTACCGAAACCCGAAACCCGGTACTCGGTAGTCGGTGAAATCGAATATCGAGTCCCGACTATCAAGACCCGAAACCCGAATGTTGAGTATGGAGTGCCTGACATTTAGTATCATGTATTTGAAAGGTGGGTACTAACACGGGTAACTACCTTTCTACTTCTTCCAATCCAACCTTGCCCATCCACACGACGGAATCCCAGCATAAACATGAACAGCATCCCTCGTATACCATGCCCAGGCAATCCGATCCCCTTCCACTGCATGAACCGCGTGTCTGACAATCCTTCCCGAAAATGCAATCATGCACCCCGGATCGTACCTTAACTCCAGCTGCAGGCTTGGCATACTCATCCGAGCATTAGAATAATTCCCCACGCTAGTGAGAATATCGAAGCATTCGGAAATTGATGAGGGGTCTCGATGATTCGGGGTTTCCCGATTGCATATGACGGTGAGGCTGTTAAACACCGTTGCCCAGTACTGGAGAGTCTCTGACATCTTCGGCAGTTCCTTGCTTCGTGCCTTTTCTCCGAGGCTCGCAAAGGCTTGCAACCCTGCCCAGTACTGCTCAGGATGCATCACCCTGAGTGCCGCTGTGGCAATGGCTGCTGGCCTCGCAATGGCTTTGAGGATGTTCTCGGAGGATGGTCCCTTCAATGATGCAGATACCTCCGGATCGGACTGATTCTATGGGATTGGTGAGTTTAACTACCGAGATCACCATCTCATCAGATCCTACCTCGTGCCCCTGGTGAAACCATGCCGGAGATAAATTAACGCATCCGGGAGTTAGGACATCATTTTCCGAGCTTGGTGTGAACCACTGTTGATTAGTCCGCCAAATCCCATCGAGCTTTATGCTTTGTTCGAGCATGGGAGCTAGCAAATCCGAGGCCGCCCAAATTTCATTCTGTACATACCATTTGATGTTCAATATCCATCCAGTCACAATATATATAACACACCTGGGTGGCATCGGTCAAGGCGTCTGGGAGGTACCATGCGATGATGGCACCAGATGCATCAAGAATTGTCGCGGGTATGTCGATCAACTTTGTGCCCTCATGGCCAGGAGGACACCTCTCGAGCAACTTTTCCTCTCTCTCTTCATTACGCCCCGTGTCCTTTGGGGAGATCAATTTGCTATATCTTGCAATATCAATCAGCATCTGAACTGTGATGAAGCAATTTGACTGATAAAACGAATTTTCCGAATCTGCAGGAAGACTCACTGGGATTTTTATATGCCTTTATGAGCCGATCAACCAATCGATCACAAGCCATCACCAGATCAGTGTCTAGGTTTGGAGAAGGTATAACTGGGTCTCCTCCTGTCTTCTCTGCATTGAATTTCTGTTCCATATAATCACATGCCACATGAGTGACAGTCAGGGCCCAAGTGCGCAAGAGGGTTATTTCATCATCGGAAGTGGAAGAAACATCCATGATTGAATTGATCTTGTGAGATCAGAAGCTGAATCCTGAATGTCCGCACTTTGGTGTTAAAGGGGGTGGAGATTGAGAGGATCAGATAAGGGAGCCTTGGATGATCTGAGCTTTCAAAGATCTATTTCTCTTATCATCTATTGCTCAATGAAATACCACATGATTGGAAGTCTGTTGGATGTCAGATACTCGTTTGTCGAGACCTGGGCCTCGGATCTCGGTACACTTCACTCGATTTTGATACCCGGGACACCATAGTTGGAACTTGTCTCGAATCTCGGGTCTTGGGTCTCGGGCGTCGGGTCTCGGGTCTCGATGGTCGGGACTCAATACTCGATTGTCGGGATTCAATGGTCAGGCGTCGGGTTTCATGACTCGGTAGTTGGGACTCAATAGTCGGGACTCGATGGTCGATTTTCGGGATTTGATAGTTGGGGCTCAGATATTGGTACACTTCACTCAATTTTTGGTGGTCGGAACTTGCCATTTGGCATTTGGTAGGCTTGGATGATGTTGGCCTTCAAAGATCTATTATCATCCGTTGCTCAATGAAATACCAGATGATCGGAAGTGTGCTGGACATCACATATTCGTTTGTCGAGACCCGGGTCTCGGAACTCGGTACACTTCGCTCGAGTTTCCACTTCACCCCTTTGCAAAGCTCTGTGCCATACCACATCATTAGATGACTTCGAATAATCACCTCCTTTGATTTGGATGATATACAACTAGCTGAGCTCCATCATGTCTACAATTATCATTCTCCTGGGCCCACCCGTTTATCTTATATACCCCCACGTCGGCCTACCCATCTATGCAATATATGTCTCCCGTCGGCCCACCTGTATATAATACATCTTTTACCGCTCCCTCGGCCCACCCGTCTAATATGATATATATCTGGGCCCACCTGTCTATGTGATAACAAGCACCCTTGATATACCCGGCTATTTGATACATATCTACCTTGGTACACCCATCTACATAATATCCAACTACCTCGGCCGATCCGTCTATTGAAAATTCATGTCCATCGGCCCACCCATCTACTTTACATATTCCCCACCTGGGCCCACCTGTCTCCATTGGGAATAATAACACTCCTGGCCCATCTGTCACAGTCGAGGATATATCTACCCTCGGCCCATGGTCCGCTGGCCCGTATCATACGGGATATTATGCACGTCCGTCCACTCGTATAATACGGAGATATGTTACTGCAATATGTGGGCACTCTCCGCCGTTGCCACCTATTATTTGCCAGCTTCGTCAGTGACTACCCAGAACAGCTCCTTGCTACTGGGATCAAGTTCAGAGAGTGTCCGAAATGCGATATCGATGCTGATGAAATGGGTGGCAATACAGCACCTTTTCATTTACGAAAACTGTGCAAAGTGCTAGATGCCCTCGCTACTCTCAATGAAGGCAATTTATCCTTTGTTCGTGCTTGCTCGGCGGCAGGCATCAAGCCTATCATCCATCCTTTCTGGCAAGATCTCCCATTCGCTAATATATTCCGTGCGATCACACCAGACGTGTTGCACCAATTATACCAAGGCTTAATAAAGCATCTCTTAGGTTGGTTGTCGGCTGCTTGTGGTGGCAGCCAAAATTGATGCTCGTTGTCGACGTCTTCCTCCCAACCACCATATACATCTGTTCACCAAGGGCATCACTTGCTTGTCGCATATCAGTGGGACTGAACACTTGCAAATCTGTCGCTTTCTCCTCGGTATTGTGATTGGTATCCGATTGCCCAACAATCTAAACGCAAACCAACTTCTACGAGCTGTGCAAGGTCTACTCGATTTCCTCTATCTTGCACAATATCCGTGTCATAGTTCAGAGACCCTGCAGCTGCTGGACAACGCACTTGATCTTTTTCACCAGAATAAGGACATTTTGTTGAACCCAGTATCCGAAACAGTTTCAATCTACCAAAACTGCACGCCACTCGCAACTACTCTCATATGATTAGGATGTTGGGTACAACGGATAATTATAATACTGAGTACACTGAACGACTTCACATCGATTACGCAAAAGACGCTTACCGTGCCACCAATCACAAGGATGAGTTTGTGCAGATGATGCGCTGGCTCGAACGAAAGGAGAAGATTCTGCGCCATGATAAGTATGTCAACTGGCGACTTGCCAGTGATGACAAGTCCGAGCCTCACCATTCATGTCCACCCAATATGACTTTCCATCGGCTTCAGACTATGACGAAGCACCCTACTGCAAAGGCCGTCAGTATAGACAAACTTATTGAAGACTACAGCGCTACCTATTTCTGCGAGGCACTCGCTCGCTATATCACATGGCTCGGCCATGCCGATGATCCTATCCCCCTCCATAGTCAAGCACTGGATGTGTTGGCACACAACATCCATTTCCCGTTTCGAACTCTCCCTGTTTTTCACAAGATCACGTGGCTCTCGGTAGATGCTCGTGGTCACGGCGACGCAACCGTCACATTGGACTCTGTACATGCCAGACCACAACGGAGATTGGATGCAGGTCTGCTGCCTCGCCATTCAGATACAGTCCTGGTGAACCTTGGTGCCAATACAGAAGTCATTAGTGCAGGTATAGAAGGTAGGTCTAGCAACGACTATTTGCAAGGTTAATTGTTACTCACAGTCGACTCGCTCTAGCATTCCGTGTTGCTCAAGTATGAGTCATTTTCTCATTACCTTCAAAATCACTGCCGCTCCTCTTTCTGCCAACAGTTCAGGTTCCTAACCACCTGGCTTATGTGGAATGGTTTGCGCCATTTCCATTGGCTCCTGATCGACACCACGGACTTTACAAGATCTCACGATCCTTGCATGGTGGTGCAAAAATGGCACATCGTGCCATTGTTGAACATTGTGCGTAGTGTCCATCTGATACCGAATTTTGGTGCCGTCGTCCCATGAGAGTGGTCGAGTGATACAGTTCTAGATGACTGTAACACCTTTTGGTTGAACTCGTTGTAGAGATTCACATTTCTCCAGGCTCATATGGGCCAAATTCACGGCTTTTCACGATGCACTCGATATCCTTGCAACGCGCTGTGGGTATCACAACCTGGCAGGCACATATAAGAAAAGTGCTCAGCCAGTATAAGTGAGTCTCAGCTCTGCCTAGCTGCTATACTCGCAGAATGCAAGAACGTTCGACCCTAAAGGGGAAGCAAGGAAAGCAAGGATCCACGGAATGATGCTGAACAACCCTGGTGAATGGCGGTGAAAGCGCGAGAAATGCGCTGAAGGCGTGCGTGGGAAAGTGAAGTGCGAAGGTGCGCGGAGCGCAGGAAGGTAGTGCAAGCATGCACAAGTGTAGAAGACGGATACTGGGACTGATAAGAGGGAAAGTGCGGATCTAGACGGATACTGATAGTGCCCACTAGCTATAGACTGATGCTAGGGCCTCAAAATGATGATGGACACATGCATTGCATGGAACTAACTGATGATAGATACTGAGTGGTAGGAAACTAAGGTGGAATTGTTGGGTGTAAAACGAACATGAGTGTATGTAAGTTCTACCTAAGCGCTCTCCCAGGGCTCGGAGCCGAATAGGGAGCGCTCTAAGTATGTAAGTGAGATAAGGTGATGTAAAGTAAGGGTGCATAACGAAATGGGAAGTGTAATATGCTAAATATGGTCAGATAACGAAAAGGGACATACCAAGGGACTGGTTGGACGATGGATGGATGCTCCTGGATGCTGTGCGACATAGTGCGCTTAAGCGCGAGGAAAGCGCGCAAGGCGCGCACGCGGGAATACTGCGCATTGTGCGGGAAAGTGTCGCGCCTATGGCGCGTTCCACGGGAAAGTGGTGCGCTCTATAGGGAAGTCATAGTGGATGATGGTGTGAGTTGTGCCATGAAGGCCAGTTGTCAGAATTCGTAAATGAGCCCATATGTGCCTGCAGAAACGCGAGTCTCTACAGCGCTTCTCATACGACTTCCGCGCAACGCGCGCTTTGGCGCATACCAGCGCGTTCGAGTGCGTTCGAGTGCGTTATGGTGCACTTCGTCGCATTCCCTTAGTATCTGTCGCCTGTCCTCCGCATGTCCCGTCCTAGTCCTCCAAGGTCCATTGGTGCGTTTTCCCTTCTTCAGAACTCATATTCCATCACGCAGGCACTAGTACCTTATCATCATATCTCGTTATGGACCCTGACCTTACCTCACCATTTACCTTAGTACTTCCTATTCGGCTCCGAGCTGTGGGAACTCGCTTAGCATACCTACACGTCACCATGTTTGTTTTCCTGTCACTTACTTCTGCTCCACTACCATCGAAGTGTATAGCTCGAATTTCTATCTGAATACACCGGTTTTCCGTCCTATTGGCGCTTTGACACCTGTTAAGTATCTATTTCTACATCTATCAAAGTCCTGATTCCCCCATTTGATTGTCATCTCTACTCAAAGTACTCCATTGTGATCGCACGAAGTGCACTTTGACATTGAAGCGCACTTTTCCGCACTTTCCACCTTATTAGCGCGTTTAGGCGCCTTTAGCTAGTGCACTTCGCTTTTGGGTGCATTATTTGCCTCAGAGTCCCATTCAGGCTTCGAGACCCAACCGCTGGTTATAGATCCCCCCTCACCTTTCACTAGAGGAATCTTTCTCAGTAGCAATCCCCTTGGGACGACTTTTCCACTCGTATCCAGAGGAGCACTTGAGAGCCCACTTCAAGATAAATGTGAACCATACCTCAGCGTTGGTGAAAGAATCACTGAGGTACAAACAATGCATTGTAGAGACTCACGTGTCTGCAGGCACATATGGGCACATTTTGCACCTTTTCACAACTCATGACAATTGGCCTTCAATGCACGACTTGCACCATCAGCTATATTAGACTTCTATCATGTCTCTAGTCGTTTTACACATAACGCGCAGCTTTCCCGCAAACGCGCCATAGGCGCGGTACCTTTCCAGCACAACGCGCAGTATTCCCGCATGCACCGCCTTGCGCGCTTTCTCGCGCTTAAGCGCCCTGCATCATCCAGGAACGTCCGTCTATGTCTACCCACCTCATTGGTACATCATATGCCTTGCCTTGTGGTTTGTAACAAGCATTGCAAGCGTTATTACATGTCATTACGTATTCATAGCGCTTATTGCTCCTATCCCTTCCGCTTCCGATGTGATTTCCATAGTAATAAAGTTTGCTGACTTACTACACCATCATTATTACTCCCCTTTGCTGTACTTCCCTCACTATTGGGTTTTACTTTAAAGTAGTAGTCACCACTTGGGAGCACTTAGTGTTTCCAATGGTTATCGTTATCCGGCCTATACTAGACTATTATCCGCGCTCGTTATAACACTCGCTCTGCAATTGCACTCGCTTTGCACATCTGCTTCCTTATCTGTTTCCTCATCCGGTATTTTCCACACAATGCGCGCCTTAGCACTCACGTTCCCACGCTCGCGCTTACCTTAGTGCGCTCCTCTCGCGCTTCGCGCTCACTTCGCTTTTCT